AAAAAGAAGTAACAAAGCTGGAGTCAGAGAGGGCTTTGGAAGAAAAAGGGTCATTGTTATTTTGCTTGAAATAAAGTCACATATTTTTATCAAACATGTATACGAGACATATGGCTCTTTCCACACACTTGCAAAATGTGGACCACATTTGATTAGTATGGGATCTTTCTAAATTCCTTAGACTAAACCCCCCATTCTAATGAAGAAACCAAGACCCAAGAAATGAAGAAACTTATCCAAGGTCAAAGAAGTAAATGGAAGTAATTCTGTAGACTCTTGGGCCAATATTTTCTACTATACCAGTATTCGCTTTGAATTTCTTAGAAAGTCAAACTGGAAATTGACTCCCACAACATTAGATACATGAACTAAAAAAGTAAATAACTTGTTACTAATCTCTCTTTTAAATTTCATGACTTTAAGACAGACTGTTTAAAAATCTGTTTTTCATTTGCTGGTGGGTAAAAAGTTTTCAAGAAACCTTAATTTAAAAATTTTAAAGTTAGAAAACATCACTTTAGAAGCCAAGACTTTACACGTTTTTTTTTTCCATTTACTCAACAGTGCTAAGCATAATGTACATAGAATGTGAAGATAATCATGCTATAATTGTTTTGAGGCAGTATAGCACTATGATTAAAAAAACAGGCTCTAGATTCAGATGTCCTGTGTTCAAATTCTCTTCTCATTTATACTAGTTCTGTGGCCTGGTGTAAAGTATTTGCTTTTTCTATGCCTCAGTTTCCTCATCTGAATAACAGAGGAGGCAATGGGATTATCTCATAGAATTGTTGTGATGGATAAATTAATCCATTTAAAGTACTTAGAACAGTGCCTACATACAATAAGGACTTAATAAGTGTTACTTATCATTATTATTAAAATGAAATAAATGTTAACCTAGATGGAAATTCAAGGTTTTCTCAAAACAGAGGAGCAAATGCCTAAGTGCATGAATGAAGCACAGAAAGGCTTGGGAAAGGTGGTAATATTTGAAATAGGACTCAAAGGATGAAGAGGCATTTAATAAGTTGGCAAGGCCACTTCACATCAAGGGAATAGTATGTGGAAAGGCATAAAGGTCATAGAAAATATGGTAATATTAAAAAGAATAATATTTTGCTCTATCTATTATCCATAACCCAGTATATTAACAATGGTATTCTTATTATGAATGGCAGTTGCCATTTCTTACAGGTTTACTCTTTGTCAGGGGCTTTGTTACATGCTTTATAAACAATGAATCTGTACAACAGCCCTAATTTGTTGGTATCTATTGGCATGCAACATTTAGTAGGAGCTCAATAAATATTTGTTGAATAACTATCATCATGGAATGTCTGTCTTCTTTATTGTAGGATAGGAAGAAGCCCATAGTCTGAGGGTTGGCACAATATTTATGATTCATGAGCACACAAATAAAAGTATACGAAAGCAGCATTTTTTAAACATGTTCAGCATCAGCAGAGTGTATTTTCCTTGAAACAGAAAAAAATTATGTTTGAATCCCTGCTCTGCCACTTACTGAAGTGTGTGATCTTAGGTAACCTAATTAAATACCCTAAGCCTTAGTTTCCTAATCTTTGTCCTTCCCAGTCAGTAGGAAGACTTTTCTGAATGAGCTGACCTGAGAAAGAGGTTTGGCAATGTGAGTATACACACACATAAACAGATCATTTAAGCAGGAACAGAACCCAGATGACAAATGCGGGACTTCATGTGGGAAAGCACTAACTTACTTATGATAGGTCACTGATCAGTATGTTGCAGGGCCATTTGGAAAAGCGATTTAAAATTTAAGGAAATATTTACCAAAGTAGGAAGATTTGACAGTAATGAAGACTAAAGAAAAATGGTCAAATGACCACTTGACACATTTTCATATCATAGTGGCTTAGAATTAAACACAAAAAACTGTGGATTCAATTGTACGTGATCTTAATTATAACAAACATCTGGTACTTGTACATCAAATTTTGATCACACTATTATATATATCTGTAATATGATCCTTTATCCTTGTGGTGTATCCAGTTAAGTCTGTTTTTAATTCACATTGTAGAGAAATTAGAAAATCAAGGTAAACAAAGAGAAAACCTAAAGGTCAGTTACCTGTATTTCCATCACTTAGGGATAACTGCTTCTGTACTTATTTTGGTATACACTCTTTTGGCGTGTGTTTCCTATAAATACACTGACATACCTATAAATGGGTATATATGTGGGTACATATGTGTATATAAACACAAATATATTCCATCCTTCATGATACAAAATAAGTTAAAATTTTACGCAGAACAGAAAACTTATATAAGTAAACCTTTATCATTATAACTAATAAGAAACTGCAAAGTTTCCAACGTACCATTTTTAAGACCCGGAACACGTCCCAAGTTTTTCTTGAAGCATTCCTAGACCATTCAGACCACAATAACCTCTCCTCCATTTAACATTCATTACATGTATACTTAGCTTATGCTACCTTCCTTTGCTGCTGTGTCTGTTTTTGCTTTTATTTATGATGTTTCCTTTTTCTTCTCCAGTAAATTTAAAGCTCCCTGAGATCAGGAATTATTTCTTTAATCATTTTATGTCTTACTCCCAAGACCCAGGATAACACCTTCTATTTACCTTGTACTTAAAAAAAAAAAAGTTTGATGAACCAAGAAGTATACTTGTAACACATAAGATACCCACATTGATACCCTTCATGTTTACATTGCTTTTACAAGTTGATAAGAACAAGCAATACAACAGACAAATTAAACAAACAAGAGATTTTCAAAATAAGTATAAATATCCAATAAACATTTTGAAAGGATGTTCAACTTTGTGAGTTATTAAATACAAATTTAAACAAAATATAAATTTTCAGCTTTCAAAGTGGTAAAGGACTTTTGGTAAGATAACACCCAGTGCTCTCCAGGGTTTGGAGAAACAGACATGCTTTGCTCATAAACTACCACTGGATACCTAAGTTTATATAGCTTTGGGAGTTTGGCAAGTTGACATTATATATCAAAAGCCCTGAAATTCTAGCCACTTTGGGACACACTGACAGAAAGATGGAGTAAAGGCCTTTTTCCCTATTCCTCCTGCTAAGCACAGGTAAAAATCTCACACATAATATAAAAATAAACATAAAGACAGCAAGAGGTACAGAGAAGAAAGCACACTGCTTAGGGACCTTGGCAGCAAAGGAACAAGATAAGATGGCAGAATTCACTGAGTTGTGTTTTTGCTTCATATATCTTAGACTGGTTATGAGAAAAACTGGCAATTCAGAAACATCAATGGGCTCAGTAAGAAAACACCCCAACAAACACCTACTCTCTCTGGTCAGAGGACAAGGGGCAACCTAGCAAGACAAAAAACTTTAGATAGTGCTCTACTACAGTCAAACACCACAGAAAAACTGAGGCCCCAACATCTGTACCCACCACTGAAGGCTGAACTGGGGAGCTTAGACTCCCAGCCCTTGCCAGGCTGTAACCAGGGGCCCCAACCTCCCCAGTGAGGGGGTGTCAAGGATGTCAAGTAGGAAATGAAGTATAATAATTTTACTTTTCTTTTTTACATCTTCCAAATTGTCAATACTATGTATTATTATACTAGGGAGATAAAAATATTTCATAGAAACATAGTTTATAAAAACAAATTTACAAAGAAATCACAAACATAAAACAAATGTAATTTAGAAAACCAAAGATGAGTGCAGTTTTATTTTGTATCAAAGATGCTAACACAGATAAGAAGACATGAAAAAAGTGGGTTAAAATAATAGGGGAAGATAATAAGGATAACTGTCATGGTAAAGATTCCCCTACATCACAAATCACCATTAAAGGAGAAAAAAACCCTCTGAGCTACTTTTCAAAAGGCAATTTAGGAATATAGCAATACTGGACAAGTTTTCATCACTCTCCCTGCTGGCATCTAGCACCCATCTCTGTGTTCCACACTTTTGCCATCTTGCGGTAAGTAGTAGCTCTACACTTGAAAACACAATCAAGTTTTCCTTGCCTATGCCAAACCAGATCAGTCTTCTGCTTCTCGTAATCCATTTAACAGTTTGAGTAAAACTTAATGTAATTATAGAATTTAAAAAATATAGTTAATGATATTATGTTTCCCTCCTATGAATCTCTAGAGTCCACTGTTTGTTGTACCTCTCCTGTGGTACTTTCATATTCTACCTTTTACAGCTACTTTTGTATTTGTCTTAACTGTCCCACTACATTGTGAGTCCCCTAAGGTCAGGACTATGTCCCATTCATCTTTACCTACCCTGAAATGCCTAGCAAAGTATACTGCACTCAGCTAATACTGTCTTGCGCCCATTAGGTATGACATAAGATTACAAACACTTCAAATCAGGCTTGTCAACTACTTATTTATAATCCCTACAGCACACAGTTTACATCCAGGCATAGGAATGGCTAATGCATACTTGCTGATTTTTACTTACTGAAACATCTTTAAGACATATGTTGTAGAAGGCATGATATCTGACAGAGTTGGAGACAGAAATTTTGATATATACAGGTAAAAGAATAGACAAATAAAGCAATTCTTAACTTTAGTCTCATAAAAAAAGAAATAAACTGAGGATTTATACATGGCCTACGTTCAGTAATTAGATTAAGAATTCTAAGGAAAAGTATAGAAGAAAACTAGCAGTAAAGAAAAGAAATTTTATGAAAGTGTTTCCAATAAGCCTAAGAAAAATGAGAGAAAGAATTGGAAAGTCACAGAAATTCTTTCACTGGAGAACTTAACAATATACCTGTGAAGATTTAGCCTCAGAAATATCTAGAGCCAAAGGGAAGGTATGAAATGACTTATTGTATGAATATACACCATGAGGAAAATACTGCAACCAACAGTAACAAAAATAAATGGCAAAACACTATAAATACAACACAACTTTAACAGTAGCTGCCCCCCTTTACTTCCAAAACAAACACAAAAGACAAATAAGCAGACTCTACTGTGCTCACATGTGCCTTTCATGCATGTCATTGTGGAAGAACATAACTCAATGACCCGAACAGCCAAAGTTCCTGGTTCCTCTGCTGGCACTGTCAAAATAGAAATCTGAAAAACAGAAACAAAATATCAGAAACAGCTATTAGATCCCATTTCCATTCTTCTATCATTAGAGTATAGTTAACATCCAAAAAGAGTGCCTTTTTTCAAAACTTATTCATGTATGAAAGTTTTAGCTTGCAGGGATGTAATTTTAGAGCAGAATTTGAAACATAAAATGCCCATGTGTTTTAATGTACAATTTCTGCATTATTTATATATGTATACATCATTATGCTGTATTAATTCACAGACAATAAATATTTCAAGTATCTTTAATATTTATTAAATCCTTCAATTATTTTCAAAGGATGTAATTATGACTTACTACTCCTAAATTGTATGCACTTCAGTGTTTGAAATCAGATCATACTAAACAATTTTGATTATTCATAATGGCTAAAAATAGTAGTTATAGAGTACTAAAAGTTAAAAAATGTTATAAATCCCAAATATAGTGAAACAAGCAAAGTATATGTCAACATAAATCAAATTATAGCGAAACATATTTCAAAATGAAGGGTTTCAAATTAAGGACTCCATTAATAAAATTAGAAGCTGAGAATTAAAAGTAAAATCAAAAAGTATAAATTCATGTTTATTGATATGTATATACTGTCCTGGGCACTAGTAGGATGTGGCTATATGGCTTTATTATAAATTTAAAAGACTTTGACCACCTGGTCAATGCTTCTCTATAGAACCAAAAGTTCCAATTTTAGTTCTCAATCTAATCTTCCATCTGAGGAAACTATATCCTCTCATACAAGAAACACTTGCTAAAAGGTAAAGACCCACTTGTACTTTTACCTGTGGGAATTCTACTTTGATTTTGGTTGGTAATGTCATATTGACAGCCCACAGAGGAAAGCTCTAAAAATAGTTAGTTCTTTTGATAACCATGACTATCCTATTACCATGTTATTTGTATATGCATTTTTGGACTAAGATGTCTCAACAACTGTGAATATTCCTCTTAACTTCCTTTGCTGTTGTTCACGATAATAAGTGTCATACTTCAGCAGTAAACAGAGAGGAGCCACAAAAACAAGTATCTAATGCTGTGCAATAATTATCAAATGACTGTTACTAAAAATATGCACATAACTGGAAGGGTATCTTAGGGCCTGTACCAATATGTAAGTACAGGCATGCCTCATTTCAGTTTGCTTCACTATTCTGTGCTTCACAGATACCGCATTTTTTTCTTTACAAATTGAAACTTTGTTGCAACCATCAAGCAAGTCTATCGGTGCCATTTTTCCCAACAGCGTTTGCTCACTATACATCTTGGTGTCACTCTTGGTAATTCTCACAGTAATTTAACAAACTTTTTCATCATTATATTATGGTGATCTGTGGTTGGTGACCCTTGATGTTGCTAGTATAATTGTTTTGGGGCACATGAACCATGCTCATGTAAGATGGCAAAGTTAGTAAACATGTGTGTTCTTACTGCTCCACTGAATGCCGTTCCCCGTCTCTTTCCCTCTCCTCAGGCCTCCCTATTCCGTGAGACACAACAATATTGAAATTAGGCCCATTAATGGCCTTTAAGTGTTCAAGCAAGAGGAAGAGTCACACGTCTCTCACTTTAAATCAAAACCTAGAAATGATTAAACTTAGTAAGGAAAGCACATTGGAAGCCGAGATAGGCCAAAAGCTAGGCCTCTTGCACCAAACAGTTAGCCAAGTTGTGAATGCAAAGAAAAGTTCTTGAAAGAAATTAAAAGTACTATTCCAGTGAATACACAAATGGTAAGAGAATGGAACAGCCTTCTTGTTGACAAGTGGTCTGGATAGGTCAAACCAGCCACAACATTTCCTTAGGCTAAAGCCTAATCCAGAGCAAGGCCTTAAGTCTCTTCGAAAGTCTATGAAGATTGAGAGGTGAGAAAGCTGCAGAAGAGAAGTTGGAAGCTAGCAGAGGCTGGTTCACGAGGTGCGAGGAAAGAAGCCAACTCCAAAACATCAAAATGCACAGTGCAGTGGCAAGTGCTGATAAAAGAGGCTGCACCAAATTATCCAGAAGATGTAGCTCAGATAATTAATGAGGGTGGCTACATGCAACAACAGATTTTTCAGTATAGATGAAAGAGCCTTTTATTGGAAGATGCCATCTAGGAAGTTCAGAGCTAGAGAGGAGAAGTCAATGACTGGCTTCAAAGAGCAGGCTGACTCTCTTGTTAGGGGCTAATGCAAATGGGGACTTTTTAGTTGAAGCCATTGCTCATTTACCATTCTGAGAATCCTAGAGCCCTTAAGAATTATGCTAAATCTATTCTGCTTGTGCTCTATAAATGAAACAACAAAAAAAGATGACAGCACATCTGTTTACAACATAGTTGACTGAATACTTTAAGCCTATTGTTGAGACTTACTGCTCAGAATAAAAGATTCCTTTCAAAATATATCAGTTCTTTGTCATCCAAGAGCTCTTATGGAGATGGACAATGAGATTTATGTTGTTTTCATGCATGCTAACACAATATCCATTCTGCAGCCCATGGATCAAGGAGTCACTTCAGTGTTCAAGTCTTCGCATTGAAGAAATGGATTTCATAAGGCTATAGCTGCTACAGACAGTGATTACTCTGATGGCTCTGGGCACAGTAAATTGAAAACCTTCTGAAAAGGATTCACCACTAAGAACATTTGTGATTCATGGGAAGAAGTCAAAAGATCAGCATTAACAGGAGTTTGGAAGAAGGTGATTCCAACCCTCATGTATGACTTTGATGGCTTCAAGACTTCAGTGGAGGAAGCTACTTCAGATATGGTGGAAACAGCAAGAGAACTAGCACTAGGAGTGGAGCCTGAAGCTGTGACTGCACTACTGCAATCTCATGGTGACACTTTAATAGATGAGGAATTGCTTAAGAATGAGCAAAGAAAGTTGTTTCTTGAGATGGAATCTACTGCTGGTGAAGACGCTGTGAAGCTGAAAAGACAGCAAAGGATTTAGAATATCACATAAACTTAGTTGATAAAACAGCAGTAGGGCTTGAGAGGATTTAAACAATTCTACTGAGGGTAAAATGCCATCAAACAGCATCACGTGCTACAGAGAAACCGTTTGTGAACAGAGAAGTCAATTATGATGCAAACTTCATTGGTGTCTTATTTTAAGAAATTGTCACAGCCTCCCCAACCTTCAGAACCACCACCCTGATCAGTCAGCAGCCATCAACATCAAGGCAATACTCTCCACCAGCAAAAAGCTTCTGACTTGCTCAAAGCTCAGGTGATAGGTAGCATTTTAACAATGAAGTATTTTTAAATTAAGGTATATATGCACATAGTTTTTTAGACATAATGGTATTTCACACTTAATAGACTACAGCATAGCATAAGCATAACTTTTATATGCAATAGGAAACCAAAACCTCACTTGACTCACTTTATTGCAATACTCATTTTTGTGCAATATTTGCTTTATTGTGATGTTCCCTTTATTGCGGTAGTCTGGAACCCAACCTGCCATATCTGGGTGAGCCTTTGTACTTTCGTTTCCTATAGCCATCATCTATAATCTTTAAAAATTGAGATATTCAATAATCCTCTACCACTTCACCTTCTATCTCCTGAACTCTGAGAATGTAATGTCTTATATCTCAGGGACAGTAAAAAGGCATCAAGAGAAAATTCACTCAACCCTCTAATACCACTTTCATAAAATTTATGTAGACCTATAGTCTATATGTGGCTCTTTCCTCTTTAAGTTGCACCATTTATGCTTCAAAACCTTAAAGAGTTGAAATAGCACATTTAGGAAACAAAGATAGGCAGACTGATCATTCTGATGGCTGTGTGGAGGGTGGATTTGAAGGGGACAAGATGAGAGGCAGGGCAGCCAGTGAGAAGGCAGAGATTATGAGTCCTAAAACCAGAGACTGAGAGGAAAAGCAGACTGGTGCAACTTCCAACAAGCGTACTGACAGGAACCTGGAGGCTCCAGAGATGTCAGAATGGGAAGAAGTTGTTTGTGGAAGGCTATCAGTGTCATTCACGGAGGAAGGGAGCCCTGGATGAGTAGTTTTGAGAGGGAAGTGGTGAGCTCAGCTCTGAGTATGTTCAGTTTGAAGGGACCCTTGGCATAGATAGCCAGCAGGAAGTTTGGCATATGGGCCAAGATGCCAAGGAGATGGAGAAGTAGCTGTCACCAACATTCATGCAGAGGTCAAACAAGAGTACACGGAATCAAGCAGCAAGTGTGCACAGAACAAGAGGTACTGGGGAAGCAAGAACCCTTCCACAATATTGAGGAGCCCCAATATTTAAGAGGAGGACAGAGCCCACAAAGGAAGCAGAGGGAGAGGAGCCAGAGAGTTATGAGGAGAACCAGGAGAGCACAATGTCATGGAAGCCAAAGGAGTAGTGAGTTTCAAAAGAAAGGGAATAATCAACATTGTCAAATATATCAGAAAAGACCTGGTAGACAGAAACTAGAAAATGTCCTGTGGCCCTGACTATTGTGAAATTATTAATGAGATTTTAGCAAGAGAAACTGTAGCGGAAATGTGAAGGTGGAAGCCAGGATGATCTATAAATGAATGAGAGGGATGTTGCTGGATGCAGCAAGTACAAATACCGTCTTAAAAATGTTGAGAAGAGCAGAGGAGAGATTGGATACTAGCTAGACATGGGGGCAGAGTCAAGGTAACATTTTTTTGTTTTGTTTTGTTCTTTATTTTTACTTGGGGAACAGAAAACAGTAGTACATGTATGTAAGTTGAGGGGAAGGTGCCAATAGTGGGGAGAGGCTGAAGATGCAGGAGAGAGAGCAGGCACACAGGGTGGTGTGTGTGTTTGCGTGTCACGGGCACTTGTGAAAGGGGTAGCCTTGGACAAGGAGGAGAGCCCCCTCATTAGTGTTTATGCCAATGTACATAAGTCGTGGGTGGTGGGGCTGGAGGTCAAAGGTCATTGTGCTTAGTAGGTGACTCATTTTCCTCAGTGGAGTGGGGGCAGGGGTAAGAGGACTAAGGGAGAGAAGGATGGGTAAAATAGTGAAGACCTGGACTAGGTATGGAGGGGAAAGGGAGAGGGAGCTGCCTGAGGCTAATGGAAAACCTAAACGGTGGTGGGTTCTGAGGATTCAACCAAATGAGTTTGGCACCCCTGACTCTTGTGGCAGTGCCAGTCTGTCTAATCGTGAGGTTTTCTCAACAGCCCTCAGTGGTGCAGCTACAGCTTACAGCCTCCTCTGGGATGGGATTTTCCTCTGTGGGTGCAGTGGAAGAACACAGCTATATGGGAGTTGGTGGAAGGGCAGTTCAGAAGATCCACCAAGGGGTTTAGGACAAGGAAAAGAAAGAGGTCAGAAGGAAACTGGTAATCTGGTAAGAAAAAGATAGGACAAAAAATTGGTTTCTTAATAGGTCAAGAGGATGGGAAGGGAAAGGAGAATGAAAGAGTTGGAACGATAAGGGCAGATTAATGCTGCTGGAAACTCATGACTTTCAGATTCATCTGGGCCACTGATGCTCCCCAGCCATCTGACCACACTCAGGTCACTCTCCAGCTCCCCACAATGACTATTTTTACATCTTTTTTGAGCTTTGACCTATTCCCCATCCCCACTCCCACACCCCCATTCTCAGGAGATGCCCTCACCTTGCAATTTAAAGAGTAAATAGAACCCACCAGATGGGAACTCCCAAACTACAAACAGTCCAGCATTCACACTTATTTTAAGGTTTCTCATATCCCATCTAAGGGCAATGTTTTACTTGGATCTTGCTGAATCAACTATCTTCCTTCTCTCCTGGATATCTTCAACCTCTCCCTTTCTACTAGATCCATCTCATCAGCTAAAATATACATTAAACTTTTAAAAGAAAGACAAGGCCTCTTCACTTCCACATCCCTCTTCAGGAGCCACTTCCTCTCTCCTACCCTTCACAGCATAGCTTCTTCAGAATTGTTTCTATTTGCTCTCTTCACTTTTCTGCCTCCCTGTCACTCTGACCCACTCACAAAGCTTATGGTTTACCGGGAAGATAGAGACAAGACAACTGGCAATTACAGCATAGCATGACGAGTGCTACGATGGCTGCTGTACCATTCCTTGCTCACACTCATCACACTGAACTGTAGCTGCAATTTGTCTGTATCTGTATCTTCCAGACTGCAAGCTATAATGGCAGAGAAGCTCTCACGGTTAGTACCGGCTCTGCAGAACCCAGCACACTGGCACTCATTGGTTGAGGAATGATTAAATGAAAGGATTTATGCTCACATACATAACAAACATATCTGTGTTATATAATCAAAAACTTCCAACTTCAGGAATTTTAGGAACCTGTTTTCATCAGTAGCACACAGAATAGGTATTACAGTCACACTGAGAAAGCTGATTTTATCAGTCAGTGTAAAATAGGGTCAGAAGAGAAGGGGACATACTTCCAGAATTCAGTGGGCAGACTAAGGAAAAACCACAGACATAAAGCCATTCCTATAGAATTGGGGGTGAGGAGGAGGAAGAGGGACCTGAAATGAACAGTGGTAATGGGGAAATATTAGAACTGGAAATGTGTGCTGGTACTCATTTACACGAGACCTAATGGTGGGCTTACTACCACTGCTATAGGGCTGGTTACCATGAAGACTTTTCCTCCAAGATTTTCAAATGTATTCTCCGGGGATTCTCTTTTTCTTCCCATAATAACATATTTTCAATTTAATAGAAACAGTTGTCAAAAACTAGGATTTAGTCCAATTTTCCTAAAATAAATCTGTTACATAAGAAACAATTATTTGTTCCCCTGGAAGGAAATCTATAAAAAACTACAATTATTACATAATTGCTCATGTGTATTTTTTTAAAATGCATTAAACATATACCAACATGTATGGCTTAATACATTTTTATTTCACCAATATTAATTTCTACATACTAGCATATAGATTAACTTAACAGCATGTTATTAAAGAGTACAGTACTTAAATTACCTGTTGATCAGAATCTGCTTTTAGTACAGATCTATCTGTAATCAGGACTGCCCTAGAGATCTGCCTGTAATGCAAAACACAGTTATGAGTGATTCAGACTCCATGGACAAGCTTCATTTGTAGTTATAAAATCACCAGAAGGCACATTTCAAAGATTTAAGTCATGATAAAAGTGTCATCTCCCAAAACCAAGTCAAATTTTCCTTTAATCTTTTCTTGGCTCATGAAAGGAGGATGTGTGAGCTGCAAACAAATCCCAGCTGATCTGAAGGATCTGAATTTAGGCTAGGCTTCCCTAAACCCAAGCCCTATAAGAGACCAGTGGTAATATGTTGAATTTCTCTTTGGTTTGGTATACATTTGCATTTTACTTGGAGAACAGAGTCATATAAAAGTGTCAAGATAAGCACAAAGCTAAATTTCCCTAAGTTTCACTTTCCCTTGGGAAGTGGGTAGAGAGGTGCCTTACCTGTATTGCACATTCGAGCACGTGTTCTCAGAAAAGTAACTGTCTTCCACAAGGAAATGCTTAGCGATTATTCTCTGACCGAACTGATCTATGATTGCTTTGCATCTACAAAGAAGATAAGCATAGCAAAAAAGTTCTCATTAATGATTAAATAACTGATAAATAATGAACATAATCAACTAATTTTGAATCTAAAACCAGTTTCTTGGAGGACAAGATTTAAAATTGCCTATAATTTCACACTTTGACACAAAACTTAACTAAATTATAGAATACATAGTCTTGTTGCTTTTTTGTAGTCTCTTAAACTATAAGCATGAAATAGAACTTATTTATTTTGAACACCATTATTAAGTAACAGTAAAGTGAGGTCAAACACTTTATGATCTTTTCTAATGTTTAGGAACACGTATGTTTTTCCTTTGTTTAGAAAACAGGCTCTTTTTTTTTCCTTAACAGATTAAAGAAAAGGGCAAGAGAAAACTTGATTAAATATCTTGTTAAATCATTCATAGCCTGAATAAGCCACTACAGGCTTTTTATTTTTATGTTAAGTGTTGCTTTCTCTTTTGTTCAGAATATCTGGTCACATGTGTGATAATGTTTAAAGCCAAAAAAAAAAAGGGGCTAGAGCTTCTTTTAATACCTGTTTCCACTTTACTTCAAAGGATGATCATAGAAAGATTTCTTTCAAGTGCTATTTCCATATAAGGAAAACACTTATGCACAGACATTATCAGTTCTGTCATCTGATATGTTTTGGAACAATGAATCATATAGAACCCTCCACTGACCTTCTTTCAATGTGTCTAGATAAAAGGATGAAAATTAGAATCCATCTCCTTGCAGTGCCACAAGTTATAAATGTACTTTATAGGGCTCATTATCTAAACTAATGGACTAAGGGCAACATCCTTGAAATGGACTTACCAGCACTGACAAAGCCAGTATGCAATATTTCAGGAAGTATATGTAAATGCCTGTGTGTTTGCTATACCTTTTTATTATGAAAATATCACAATGTGCTTTTGTCACAGCTTCTCCTTTTGGAACCAGAATTATTTAATTAGAAATACACTTATATGTTGCTCCTCACAATATGCAAACAAGTAATTTCAAACTTTTACCATATTTTAAATATACTGGTACAAATTAAAATATCCTACATCACTCTAAAAACAAGTCACCTAAGAGATATGTACCAGGCATAAAGGCATTAAAAATAAAATTATGTACACCCAAGACCAAGTGAGAGGAATTTAATTTGTATTTCTTAAAGGTAGATGATGATATGCTGATATTCTTAAATAAATGGCCATGCCACTATTATCAAGACAGACTACGATATTCTGTGATTTTAGATTCATATCATATGTTTTAGTCAGTTAAACACATATTAATACATACGTTGTTACATTATTATGTATTTTTTCCCATCTTACTTCCACTTCCTTTTTCTTTTCCACTTATGTTTCTATGCATATTTCCTAACATGTCATTCAACTAGTACTCTTGCCTTATGAAATACTTAACTAAGTAGATATAAGGTATTTGTACCTAGATACAGTATTTTCCAAAAAAATTATTTAAAAACTGAAAAAGTAAGTTAACTCACTCCATCTCCTGTTTTTAAAACATTCATTTACAATTTAAAACACATGGTACTTTAGACAACAGAGAAGAGAAATATGCTGATCCATCTTTAAACATGGATTTCTATGTCCTGGAAGCAATGACCACCCTTTTTCTTACCTTTAAGTCAGAGACTATAGAAAGTTAAGAGGGAATAATCTGGGCAGAAAAGAGAGGGTATTAATATCTTCTATATCTTGACAGGGACTTGGGTTATACAGATTTATCATTTGTCAAAACTCAGCTAATGAGCACTTAAGATTTGGACACTTCACTTTACATAAATTTTACATCCAAAGGAAAAGGAGTAAATAAATACTGAACTCTAGTCAATAATAGGCATGCAGACGTGTTTAGAGGGAATTGTACTGACATCTGGAGTTTACTGTGAAGTACTTAAAAAAGGTGACCAAACAGGTAGAGGAACGCCTATGTGGTAGATATATAATTAAGCAAGTATATTGAAATGTTAACTGTAGACTTTAAGTGGTAGATACACAAATGTTCACTCTGACATTCTTTCACCTTTGGTGTAGATTTGAAAATTTGCATCATAAAATGGAAGAAAATTGGTGGGTGGTGGGTGTTAGTATAAATCTTGGATTCTAGTCTTAAGTCTTTGCAAAGGGCCCCCACTTAAATAAACCACACAATGAAACCTGGCCCTCAAGCTTGTGGAGACCTCCTTGCTTTGTAGGCTTCCAAACACTAATAGAGCTGCTTCAGTGGTAGCTATACCTTGGTGACAGGCAGACACTGGTAGGTTATGGTATTAGAAAGAACTACTAGGAATCACTCTAATGGGAAGGAAGTATGTGGGTGCAGGGGTTAGGGAGCTCAACTATGCAAGAACAATATACCAATAAATGTGCCTATTTATGCTGAGGCTTCTGGATGAAATCATGATTCTCAGAGATGAAGGAGGAGGAGGAGGAAGAAAATCAGAATCATACCTGGGGGACTTTTTCAAATTATAAGTACCCCTGGAGATTCTGATAAGCTCCCAAATCCCAAGAAAGAATCACTGTCAAGTGTGCCACTGCTATTGTTGTATCTTTAATCTGTGCTAGGTGAAGAGTCCAGAGCTACTGCTATAGAATATTGATTTCTGCAGAAATTGAGGTGATGGTCCCATATGCCCAGTCAGTCTGGTAGATGATAATAACATGGCTTACCTGATAGCCTCACTCAGAGGTACTAAGGCTCTAGGCCTGAGCAAAGCTGTGCAAATTAAGATATGTTTACATAAGCGATTAAGATTTGTTTTCCCCACAGATACCTGACTTACTGTTATATACTAGGCCTAACTGGGAGAACAATGAAGAAAGGAATATTGATTTCTGACCTAGGCTTAGACCCTATATTATAAAGATTAGCATAAAAAATTAGGCGACATTCAAGTAACGGAACAGCAAAATGAAACAGTGCTGCTAGAGACATTAAAACACCCTCCCACATGAACCTGAGGACACCATTAAAGGTTAACAGCATTTCAGATTTAGTTGAGGACCTTGCTGAGCCTCATAAATAGTAAACTGAGGAAGAAGATGATAAGAGTCCCCTGTTACAGGGACACAATGACCAAGTTGGTCATAAGAATCACTGAAGCCAGACCGAACAATTCTAGAGCTGAGCTTTCTAAATCAGCAAATCACAACAGTTCTTCAGTTTTTGGTTCAATGACATGAAGGCACAAACAGCAAAATGACGATAAGGAAGAAAACACTCAGCAAGATAAAAACTCATTATCTGGAATTTGGCCCAGATGAGAAAAACAGCATTAAAATAGGTATCCAATCTCTCTGACCTTCAGAATTAATATCCCAACAAGACTGCATGGTAAGGAATACCAAAAATCACATAAAAAATAATTAAAAGGAAAAATGTGTTTATTAAAGATATTAGAAGATTGCCAATCATTGAAGGAAAGAAAATAACTCTCCCAGTACTATGCCCTTCCATGCTTTTGCACACACATTAGTTTAACTGTGATGTCTTCGGTAAAACCATTCCAAAACACTTAGCAGTTATTTTTTGAGTAAAAATCTACTCCAAACAGATGGGTAACTTCAAATCTATGGTTCTCTGCTCTGACCAATTCTAAGCTCTGTATCCACATTCTTAACTATTATCTATTTCTTCCTGGACAGACACCAAACCCTTTTTAAACCTAGCATGCCTGAAACTGAGTTCCACCATGGCTCCTCACCTGCTTCTCCCCTTAGAATCCCTCTCTCAGGTAATAACACAGAGTTTCCCTAGCTCAGAATCTCTCTTCCCACATCTCACCTGCTACTCAAGTTTGATTCCAACTTACAAAGATTTCTTGAAACTAGCCTCTTCTGTCTTCACTGACACTGCCTTTAGACTCTTGTTTAGTCTAACAAGATAATGGACTGCTAGAAAGTTGGCAGCTCATTTGTTTGACATGACTGTACAGCGTAACAACCACATGGCCAAGCACTGTTCTAAGAGGTGAAAATAAATGTATCTTGTCCTTAAGGATGATGAAGATTCAGACACAATTATAAGACAATGCCCATGTCCAGTGATAAGAGAAGAGGACAGGGTATCAAGAGCATTCTAAGGAGAAGTAGCAAACTCAGTTTAGTGAGGGGGGCTGTGAGGGGGTCAGGCAGTGGAGTATTAGGGAATGCTCTTCAGAGGAAGTAATACATTAGCTGCTTTTAAAGGATGAAACCCTGTTAAACAGGCAAATAAAAAGAACATTTCAGGTAGAAGGGCAGCATTTGCTGAGGTACAGAGGCAAGTAAGAAGTGCAGGGAACCATAAGAGGTCTGGTATTAACTGACAATACAATGCAAGCAGGCAGGGAAGACATGTGTTTAGAGAGGTAGGCAGAGGCCAGATCCCAGAGTCTCACATGTTGTGTAAAAGGGTCTTAGACTTCATTCTGAAGTGACATAAAGCCAGTGAAACTTTTTTACACAGGAAGGGACAGAGCTGTATCTGTATATTGAACAGGTCTCAATCTGTATCTATCTCATTACTTTATTTGGTCTTTAACACCCCTGAGTAGTCTATTATGCTCCATGAGAACAAAGACTATGATTGTCTTGCTCTCTGCTGTATTCCCAGTGCCTGGCACACAGTAAACAACTAATACTTGTTGCCTGGATGGCTGAATGGATGGAAGGATGATGGAAATATTCCATGCATGTGAACAGTGTAGAGACAGAAACAAAGATACAGAGTCTCTGATTTAGGAGATAAAGAATCTCTCCATCACAGTGCTTCTTACAAATCACTGTCAGAATTACTAACCAGAAGTAGCAAATCTAATCTTGTTACAAACCCCCTTAAAACACTACTGATTATAGTCCAAACTCCTTAGCATAGCACAGAAGGATCTTCAGAGTACATCTCCTCCATGGGATTCCACAGTATCCAATACGTTAATAATTTCTACCAACTAACATGTACTGAGTTCTTGCTATGTATAACAAATAGCTTTCTGTGCTTTATCTGTTCACTTAATGTAATAACCCAACGAGGTAGGTACCGTCATGTCCCACTTTGTAAAGAAACTGAAGCACAGAGAGATTAAACAACTTGTTAAAGTTCACTCAGCTAGTAAGTGGGGAACCCAGTCTATCTGACTTTTCAGCCTGCACTGTTTACTGCTATCTCTTTATACACAAGGACAAGGTCCATGTTTTGTTCATCTCTTTATCCCCATAGCAACTAGCATAGGGGTTGATGGAGGTTAAATATCTAGAATATTATCACTACCATTCTGCAAATGGGACATGCTAAAATTTGAAATTCAGCAATTTTTCTATAATGACAAATGGTATTAAGAATCAATCACCTCAAGTTTGGTATAACACACTATTCATTAATAATTTCCAAGTATCTGGGAAAGAAACAGTTATTTCTGACATCAGAAAAAGTTATCTCTAAGAAATAGTCATAGCAGGAAATCTACTAAGTGAGACAGCTGAAGTACACAAGGAACATTAGCTGAAGTAATTAGACTCAGACTACTGGTTACAGACATATCTGGTCCACGGTCATCCATACCATACCCTAATATCAAATACTGTATTGCTAAATGGCCAAATGTAATTTATAGGAGTTTTACATGGTCAGCACAGCTGCAAAGGAAAAGAAATCTGTTCAACAAGAACATTCAGTGTTTCCAGAAACAGCTAACAGAGGGGTTCTCACTAAATTAGAATTTAGTGAGAGGGTATAGAAAAAAACTACTGATATCTATATGTCCTCTGAAAGCCAAGAATGCAGAGCCAATGGGTAACATAGCAAGAAGAGCACAGTCAACATGGATGTCAGAAAAAGCAAATTAAACAAAAATGAAAAATGAGATCTAGCTGAAAATATGTATGCATTTGATTACATATTCCTTATTTCTTCTCTCAGAGTTTATATACTTCGACGTGTAACCACAATAAACTTAATGACGATCATTTATGCCTCTACTGGCTTTCCTAAAGGAAGGTGAAAAGAAAAGCACAAGAAAGGCTATTATTAGTTTTTAATCTTCATTCATTTCATTTAACACATAGCTATTGAATACAATGTGATAGCAACTTGCCTTGCTTCTAGAGATAGTGTAGATAGTAGTGAGTTCTTGCCTTTCCTTAGAGATGACCTACAATTACATATATGGGGACTTGACTTAGGGGTTGGCAGATGGTTCAGATCTAGTCTGTTGGATCAGAAAATAAACTTAGATCTTAGACTTGAAGCGTGAGTAGTTCTTAACTATACCAAAGGGGAGAGGGGATGTCAAGTGTTCCACATAAATAGGGAAAGAAAAGCAATCTAAAAGCATAATAAGACAAATGCAAACCTCTGCAGACTTCTTGTTTTAGAATTTTCTAAATTCTGAAATAAACACTTTAAATATTCTAATTAAACTTAAATAAACAATTGTTTGAGTCAACCTGGATTCCATAAAGAAACGTATGCTAAATATGCCCAAATATGAACTCAAGGTTTTACCTCAAAAAGTTTATCCCTCACTTTATATTCAGTCCTAACAAAACATCTCTTATTACTGGTAGCTCTCTCAATTAATTGATTTTGAAAAACAAACTAGTGTTTGGGAAAGATACATTAGCCTGAGTCAATTTCAATCAATACGAGCTTTAGATATTTATAGAGACTATTTAATTTGATAGAATGGAGTTCTTTTAAAAGAGGCAAAAAAAGTATAAACTTGGTCATTAGTGAAGGCATGAATTTATAATTTTCAAGTATTGGTTGTCTCTTAATTAAAACTTTTAAAGATCACTTAGGCAATTCAGTATAGTGAGAATATTGTAGACATCATGAATATTATGAATGCAGGTCAAATTTTAAAAACTATCCTAATATTGAAAAAATAAGTATTTATGGCTTGGAATAAATTTTCCAGTAAGAGAATCATATGCAGAATCCAAAATGGCTGGCTATCTTAAACAACCAAGATGGAAAAGAAGAAGATATTCACTAGAAAACTGGGCTTCTAGTAATTTAATAACATAATAAATAGCATGAGCAGACATTTTGCTATTTCCTTTATATCTGTTATAGATACATATAAGTTTCAACATTTTTAAAATTTCTCACTGGGACTGAAGATTACCCAATATGCAAGAATGGCCTACATTTGAGCATATAAAACATTTTAAGATAATTTTTTCTAAAAGTTAAGGAAAAATGGAGTACTTTCTATGTACTTTCAGTAACTCAATTAAAGCATGCCACATCTGAGAAGACACTCAGCAATTACGGCAGAGTCCATCTACTTTATCTTATGGATAAAGGAACCAGCCCAGAGAAAAGTAACTTGCCCACTGTCATGCATGGCAGTGATGGAGTTCCAGGTGTTCTCTCATTCCACGGCTACCTGGCCATGCATGCCTTAGGAGCTGTTAGGTAATAATTGTTATTCTTGAGCTCTTTCTATGAAGATATAAAAGCAATGTTAAATCAGTAGCAGTATGTCTGCTATTTAAAATTCAGATTTGATTCCAATAGGTCTGGAAGGTTTATCTTGGTAAGGGCTTAAAATAAATTAAGACCTAGAGCCCCCAGTGCACCACGGAACGCAGTACAACTGGCTAAATCGTGAACTTTACCTTACAGATGAGTGTTTCTTAATGTCATGTAAGGAGTACATACATTAGATTTACTTGGGGTTTTCCTTAAAACTGCAAACTCCTTGGCTCCACTCTAAGCACGTTATCCAATTTTAGTCTCCAAGGGTGAAGCGTAGAAATCTGCCTTTTTTTTTTTTTTACAAGTTTACCTGGTGATTCTTAGGCAAATTAAAATTTGACAACTACCAAACTTTGGTCTTTAGACCCTTAGCCCTGAGCTATCTGTTGCAACTGAAATCTGCAGGAGATCGTAAAGAAGAGTTCCTCTGTTTAGAGTCTGTAATAAAAACTAAGTCAAAGTTAAAGTAAATGTAGCCTTGAAATGTAGTTCAACAAATGCTATTACTGTACTAACATACCCATGTCATTTTTTTTTAAACACACATAAGTCATGCAAATTCTTCATGTCACTCAGAGTAACATGTGGGACTGGAATGGGGCCCAAAAAAGGCAAAAGGATCTAAGTCAATAAGCACCAAACAAGCAACTGATTATCTGGCTTTCCATCATGAGAACATGCTCATGCTTCAAATTGAATGCATAAGGAAAAATGACTCCAAGAGTCATAAAGACAACTATTTCTTCAAGAACTTCCACAGAACTCTTCATGAGCCAATATTTGAATATCCACAGACTTCAGGGACAGATTTTTTACTGTAGATTATGTTTCATTTATGTAGTACTTTCTGTGAAATTGTTAAAAGTACTTTACAAGCCCTTAAACAATCTGTCTGTTTTATCTTATACCAGATAATTACTTTTCTAAAGCAAATTCACTGTCTAATCATTACATGATTTAGAATTTTTCTCCACTATCTCTCAAAATACTAGTTATTGTGCAATAACTAGTCTATAAGAAGTTAACATTTTATGACATTTCCAACCATACACAATCATTGTAAAGTAAAAGAAGCAGCTTAAAATTATATTTTTTAAGTTTCCCCCCAAAATATGAAGGTACTTTATGACCTGAATAATACTATTTCTTTATATACCACTAAAAACAGTCATGTAAGAGATACAAGTTGGTAGATGCTTAAGAATACCTAATAACAACAAAACCATATAGCAGGTAAACTACCAAAACTTTATAGTTGGCCCATTTAACTTTCAATGTAAAACTTAGAAATGAAAGATTAGTACTTACTTAGTGTAATTCAGACAAAAGCATATTTTAGCAACTAAATAATAAATCCTAGAAAAATATAATTGAAATACGAAAATACATAAATAAATAGATAGTGCTCAGCTTTTTTTTTTTTTTAAACAGGTACTTTCTTACTTCAATCCTAAACCAGCCTGCAGGCCTGCTACAGTTGTAAAAGAATTTATCCTTAGATAACAGGGCAGCACAGATTATGACAACAATCAACCTAAAAACTCATTAAAGTCTTTTCTCTAGGAGTGACATGCATTATCAGCAGAGATTAATCTGATGAGTCTTTAGGTGAGCTCCATTTTTAAAAATGCAATAACAAAGGGCTTTGTTGTCATCTACTGAAAATCAATTAAAGGAGGTAAGGCCACAAGGAAAACTAACATCACTCATCACCCAGCCCCGGCAGCTGAAATGATTTGTCTTCCAAGCTTGGATGATCAGGAGCTACAGTTATATTGCAGGGAAATTAATTTAGTTTCTATATTCTGAGCTCACTTTCCTTGTTCTGGAGGATCTAAACACAAATTACTTTTAATCAAGGTTGATATGTTATTAATACCAAGGAGGATCTTTGAAGAATCATTTTTTTAAAATCGACTTTATCATTTTTCACCTGCGCTTGGGGTGTAAATAAAGGAAAGTAACTTATATCATCCTTACTTTCCAGATTCTTTGTCCACAACAAGGCACTGTACTGAATGACGAAGACAATAGATTCCTCCAAACACAGCACACATCCTAGGGAGGGAATAGGAAAATGAGAATTAGGATTTGTGAGTTGAAAATTAAAGTAACATTTATTTTTAAAAAGTATCTAACACTTAATAATTGGTATTGGTGAAAAAAGTATTTTGATCATTTATTATTTTCTCTATCATGGTAACAAGAATCTCTCTAGAGGTAAGATTAGTAATATCTTGATGCAGCAAGAGGTACTACTGCTAATAATACTATGCAGAAGCCTAAAATTGTGACCAAGCCAAAAGTGTCCTAATCAAACTCAGTTGTACCCCCCCAAAACCAGTAACTGATTACCTAAGATAACAGGCTGCAAGTAGACTCAAGAGGTGATGTATGAGATCCCAACAGAAGTGACCACAGAGAAGTGCTGAGGAAACAAGCGGGGAAGATGCTGGGAGACCCCGGGAACTTACGCTTATCATAAAAGTAAGCAAAAACTAAACTGGGAACTGAAAAGTAGAGCCATAAGCCCTCGAGTTAATGCTACAGAATCTCTAAGGAGTTTACCTATTTCATGAGTCTAAGTGCTTGAGTTTTAATGCCCACATAGGGAAAGAAGAGGTGGGAGGATCCAAAGAAAGCAGGGAGTAAAAAAATGACTTTTTTTTTATAACAGCCGGATTACACCCCAATGAAAAGGTGATCTAGGGGAAAAAATCCACTTATTACAAGAGGGAGAAGACATAAGAATTGTTTTACCTAAGGCACTGGGTGGGGGCAGATCATACCTTTGCATGTATAACCAGTGATCTGCCCTCGGACAGATTGAGGGTTTGAAATTGCACCACTACATGATCCAAGAAACCCTTAACCAACAAAATATCATGAAAAGTGGCTCTGGGTCAGTAATATCCCTGGAGACTTAGTAGAAGCAATTGCTAAACTTTCTGGAGTGTTATGACCTTAACCCAGGTCACGTGAGATTGCCAGAGAGAATCACACTATGATTGAGTTTATAATCTAAAATTATACAACAGATGAAGACATGTGTCTTATCCTGAATGAGAATTAACAGACACAAAAACAGCAGGATTAGGTTCCTGAAACCTCTATTAATCCCTGGAACCTATACGTATATTCCCTTGTACAGCAAGAAGGTTTTACAGATGTGATTAAATTAAGGATCAGCAATAGGGAGATTATCCTGGATTATTCCAGTGGGTGCAATGTCATCAGAAAACTTCTTAAAAAAAGGAAGTGGAAAGATCAAAGTCAAAGAAGATTTAAGGATGGAAGTAAAGGTCACAGTGATGCCATTGCTGGAAGTGGGTCAAAAGCCAAGGAATGCAGGGAGCCCATATAAGCCAGAAAAGGCAAGAACAGATTCTCTCCCCTAGAGCCCCAAGAAGGAATGCAGCCCTGCCCACGTATTTTAGACTTCTGACCTCCAAGACTGTAAGGTAGCAAATCTGTGTTGCTTTAAGTTACTAAGTGTGCGGTTAATTTGTCATAGCACCAATATAGCAAATTAGTACAAAGACGCATATGTTTATGGACACAATGATGACAGGTGGCACTACAGACCACTGGGGAACAAAGGAACCACTGAAGAAACCATTTTGCAACATATGGGGAGAGTCATTATATCCCTGCTTTACATCATATTCAGAATCAATTCTAGATGAAAGGTATAAATATAAAAGGCAAACCTTCTAGGAGAAAAAATAGGAGGATACAATTTTGAGTTCAGGGGAAATAAAGTATTTCTTAAAGTGCAAAAAGGAAACTCACAGAGAAAAATATTTTTTTAATGGAGTATTTTAAAGTTATAAACACTTGGACAACACAAAAAAGTAGAAAGACAAGCCACAGACTAGGAAAGTTATGTGCAAGTATTTTACAGATTGTTGAAAAGTATCAGTTTGGGTATCAGCACAGAAACTGTACTGTTAGGCATAAATCTTCCAAAAGCTCTCATATATGCATATAGGAAACTGTGTACAAAAGCATTTGTTGCTGCATTGTTTCGAGGCAACGCAGTATAGTGGTTATGAGGAAGGGTTATGACTGTCTGAATTCATATCCCAGCTATTCCACCTAGTGGCTATGTGACCTTGAAGAAGGTATTTAGCCTTTCTGTATCCTATTTTCTTCATCTGTTGAATGAGAATAATACCATTTCTCTCATATAGGATTCTTCTCAGGATTAAATGAGCTAATTTGTAAAGAAGCTACATAGTACTTAGCAAACAGTGTTATATAAGCATTCATTAAATAAATAAATAAAACAGGTTCTATTTTATATACATCACATGCAACCCAATATCCATCAGGAGAAGACTAAACAAAAGAGAATGTGGTATATTCATATGTGTAATAAAGAAATTAACCTAGCTCACAAAGAGGTCTGGCCTTTGTCCTTAGCTTCTGGAAGACCTATAAGCCCTTGGCATGCAAAGCCTGAAAGGAGTGGTTTTGTTTTCCTATGGGCCTTGGGTCACCAGAGAGTCTAACAATACAATCTATACAATCTAGATTGAAGGCTACTCTTGGGGTGGGTGCTAGCTATGTCAGAAAACAAGAGTGTGATTTAGGGTGGAAGCTTTGGGTCATGTGGTATCCAGCCAACTTCCAGTGGGGCTGGAGACTGAGATCAGCTCCATGGACAATCACTCATGCTGGAGTGATGAAGCTCCAATAAGAACTCTGGACACTGAAGCTCAGGTGCACTTCCTTGGTAGGCCACCCTCTTGTACACTGTTACACATCAATGTCAGGAGAGTGACACTGTCCTGACTCCACAGGGAAAGAAGAACTGGAAGCTCCACATTTAGAAACCCCCTGTACTCATCCTATGTACTTCCTCCCTTGACTGATTTCAAAGTGTACCCATTCCCTGTAATAAAACACAACTGTCAGGGCAATAGCTTTTAGTGAGCTCTGGGGGTCCTTCTAGTGAAATACTGAACCTGAGGGTGGTTCTGGGAATCTCCTGAACTTTCAGTTCAGAAGTGTGGGTGGTCTTTGGGGCTGTTGGCTTAACCTCTCACACTGTACAATGGAATACTATGAGCAAATTGAGTGATGACAGCTAGCTGGGGAAGAATATGTCCAGAGTGATACCATATATAAAAAGTTTCAAAACTTTATATGCAAAATACTATGTATCACTTATGGATATATATATATATATAGACAGTGAAAATGCACAAACATCTAAGGGACTTATATATACCAAATTCAGAAATAGTAGTTATCTCTGGGAAGGGAGGGAGTGAAAGTTTCAACTACTCAGTTTCTTTAAAAAATATATTGAATCATAACACTCTGGTCATCCCACTTCCTCACACCCAGTTATTTTGAGGCTTATTAACTCCTTCACATGAAAGAAAAACTTTTGCCTAACCCTTGAGACACATGTACATCTCATGGTCACAGTGCTCTCCCATTGCAATAGCTCCCCTCTTCCTGTTGCAATAGTTCCTTTCCTTCCTTGCAATAAATCATTTAAAATAAAGTTTCTCCTTATTAAAATATATATATATATATATATACACACACACACATATATATAGAGAGAGAGAGAAATGGCAAAATGTTAAGATTTTAACATCTAACAACTGTGAGTAGTTTCATGGGTAGTCTTTATATTATTCTCTGTACTTCCTGAAATTTCCTTAAAATATTCCCAAATCAGATTATAATGAAAAATATAAGTGAATGCTATACTAAATGAGATTCTCTAAATGTGGCAAAATATTCCTAATGGCTTTCTAAATTCAAATTGTTTTAGTGGACATGAACAAGCTAGTTAGGGTAGGTGAGGTTATGTAATAACCACTTCTTTTATAGAACAACAAGGAAATTAGGCTTTTTTTCCACTGAGAAACCTAGATCACAATAAATGACACATTAGAGTGAGCAAGCAAAATCTCATGTGCTTGAAAACCCTTCAGACTGCCAGTTTTTACCCAGGACACCAGCTACAAGAAAGTCCCCTTTTTGCTAATCTTGTTTATCAGTCACTATCAAATTATGGAAGATTATTTATTAATTGTGCCTGTAACCTGGTACTATTTGAGACATTTTATTCAGTAGATTCTAAAGAGGGTTAGAAAAAGTCATCTTTATGTTGGACTGTTTAGCTCCATTTCCCAAGTGGTATAATGCCTCCTGTTGTTGGTACAGAAAAGCTGAAGTGATCGAGATCATCAGCCCAACCTTCACCATCAATTTCCTGCTGATACTAAAAGGGGCCATGTGCACATGAAATATTACTGGCCCACTAAAGAGAAATAAGCTGAATTAGGTTATGGCTCCAGAACGGACACACAGGTCAAAAGTGTGGACCACACAATTAAGAGCCTCACTTGCCTGGGGCTTTTTGTCATGTGAGTAGTGGCAACAGTGTTTCCAGCTTCCTCGTAATCAGCTATAGGTGAGTCGTTACCAACTGACCTATGGAGTTTTCATTTCAGTCAGTCTAGTCCATGTTTACACATACAGACACATACATCAACTGTCTTACTTGGGGAAAAACAATTTTTAAATATCTTACCAGATTCCAAGAAAAGCAAGGGGATCAAGTTCAGAATTGGAAGTTGTAGGAGGTGAGAAAAATCATAAAATATGCCATGGACTATTATGGTATTACCAAAAGCATGAGAAATCCACCTAAATGAAGTTAAATGCAATCCTCTATAAAGACCTCCTTTCATCATATATTACACTGTTCAGGAAACACATTACTACTTTGACTCATAATATTATCAGGCACTGTTTTGTTTGAAAATTAATCTGTGAAGTTTTTAGGGTAAATGGGGCCTCTGAAAAATACATGTAAATATAAAGCACAATACAAGCTTCTATAACTATTTCAGTAAGCCATCAAAAAATTACCTCGTTTTCAACATGATTTATTACAGCAGATGTATACTATGTAGTAGAAACACAAGAATGTAAAGAATGTTAAGAACTGGTTTGTAGGGGTGATAGTGAATATTACAGAGGAATAAGTCCAGTAATGAGACACTATCATGATAATGCAATAAATTTCC